ACCGGCGTCGGATTGGACATATCTGTGTCTTAGCTGCAAGCCAGTCTCTCTGATGTCTTTTTATTTTCATTCAAACAATTCAATAACAAGGCTTTTGTTTCAGATATGCAACTCCGAATGTCGGGAAAGGTTGTCGGACAGTGAGCAGAAACGTCTCGCTGACTTCGCTGCCCTGCGTCACAGAAAGAAAGGAGCAGTGACCTGAGTGACGAACTGTGCTTCCGGAAACCCAGCGAGTTTGCAGGAGATGCAGACCAGGATTATGTCGTCTTCGACTTATCGCAAAACCCGCTCAAACGGGCCGGCTGGACTCTCGCCAGCGGCGCTTTGCCGACGACTCGACATGCCGGTGCGAAGTTGTGGTCTCCGTCCAGGAAACGGTCTCTCGGCAACAAGTGTACTCGGAAGAGACTGAGAGAGTCAACTAGCTACAACTATTAATTATTCTCGACTGGCAGAAGCACTGGCTGCCTCAGGTTCTTGCTTGCGTGTGAGATTGGCGCCAGCTTTGGTTTTCCGACCCGACCCGCGCTTGCGGCAGCTCTAGGCGTAGAGCAGGATTTGTTTTTTCAGGGTCAGCAGGATCTCAGTCTCACACTCCCATTGCTTGGCAATGCCATGCACGTTGCCAATGTCGGCACTGTGATGGCTGTTTGCCTGGCGTCGATGCGGGCTTGCTGAACAACAACAGCTGGACCCAGTCGTCGACCCCCACGCAGAGTCCGGGAGCTCGATGAAAACAATCGGGGTTTGAGATAGATCCACGTGCGACAGATGATTATATCCTGATGCAAGACCAGGCGTGTCTGTCTGAAACGTTGCATGTGGCTTAGATTGGTCAGTAGTCAGTCGTCGCTGTCAGCCTGTTACCTCTGCTTTCTGCCCAGTGTCGCGATGGCCAGCAATGGAAGGAAGCTCACGCCACCGACCAAGAAGGGCTTGCAGAGGATCCCTTTGGAGGATCTTTCCCTCGCCCACGACAGTGGATGGAGACTTAGGTGGCACCTAGGGAAACTAAGATTTCCTTCGTGGTCCTATATTCTAATCGGTGGCCACGCGCGCTGCTTAGCTTTCGCGCATGACTCGTGATAATCGCGCTTATAACTCCCGGATGTTGAATTGGAAAGTTTTGTTCGTGAATCTCACCGAAAAAACTTAGAAACTTCTTTAGCTATGGATCGTCTTGTGGGGTGGCCAAAAATTTCAAGGGCGCCAGCAAGTGTTGCGCACGCTTCTTCGCTTTCGTGCATGACTCGCGATAATCGCGTTTCTAACTCCCGGATGTTGAGTTTCCGTCAAAGTTTTTTCGTGAAACCCATCCAAAAAACTGTTAGTTATGGATCTTGTGGGATGGCTGGCTAGTAGAATATGTTCGTTTAAAGCGGTTACATGGCATGGAGCTGCCTTTTCATAAATGCTTGTTGGTGTCCAGGAGAGGCATCGATGAAGAATGCGTCGCAGCGATGGTCGAGAGCATCACCTCCGGTCAGTGGGGTCAGAGTATCTTCGGCGGCGTCACGGTGCTTGGGCCATCTGACCTCTCTGCCGAAGACTCACGACGCTTGATCGACAACGGCAAGCAGTCCGTCGCAGCCTTTGTCAGGGTCAAAGGCCGCCAGGCTTTTTATTTTATTATGGTGTCCCACATGACATCAGAGAGACCAGTGAGAGGGTGCTGTTGCTATTTCTGAGTCGGGTCACGGACGTAGGTCTGCGCAAGTCTCTGCTGGAGAAGAAGAAGACGTCGGAGTCGTCAGCGTCGTCAGCGTCGGCCGAGTCGGAGTCGTGGATGTCGGACCCGGCCGTCGTTGACGTTTTGGACAATGGGCTTGAGTGTCAGCAGGTCGAGTATGCTGATTGGATGGACCGGCCATTGCAGATGTGCTGGCAGTGCCTTTGCCACGATGAGTCGAGCAACTTGGATAGCCAACAAGAGAACTTTAATCTTTTTGGCCTTATGTACCTACAAAGTTCGGACTTTTTTGGGCCTGGTTGTTGAAGAAGAGAGGCAATCAGTACCGGAAGTCAGACATCAAGTCTGTCGTCGCGACCT